TGGTAATATTATCCCTTTATTGCCATGAGGAGATAGTCCCAGGGAAGTTGAATCTTAGCTAGCATTGCAAGAACCAATCCTCGGCAGAGCCAGGACTAGAATCCAAGATCTTTTGACTTCCCTCGTCAACACTCTGCCTTTGTGCTCCCTGCAGTTCTGGTTAGTGATAACTAAGCCTTTTTGAGAATAGCATTGTTAAAAAAAAGTGCTGCTCTGTTGAAACTTGAGAGGCTTAAAACACAGTATTGCCAGAGCCTCCTGGTCTTAATGGTGAGGTATATTTCTTCCGTCCGGCTCTTTTTAGCTTATTAAAACAAACTGTGTGATGCTTAGAAGACATTTACTGACATATTTTATTTTGGTATCAGTGCATTTCCTTAGGATCACACAATATCATTCCAAGAGGAGTGAGAAATCAGACCGAGGCCAGCATCGCTGCCTTTTCTGGTCTGAAGTACCCGCAGTAATAAGAGGCACTTAAGTCTGAATACCAACTTCTTTGCACAAACACAGGGAAAACAGTACTCTTTGAAAATGGTTTTGGTCATGCATACGACAACTGGGATCATATCTCCTCCTTAAATACTAATCTGTCTCTTGCCTGAAGTTGAGGTTTTTGGAAAAGTAGTGTAGCAACATTCGGAAGTCAGGCTTAGTCACTTGAGAGCGTTGTGTGACCTTGGACATGTAACTTAATTTCTTTAGAATTCAGTCTTCATTTTAAAAACTGGGGGTTATACCACAAAGATTGATGTGAGAATGAAATGGAGCATTGTGCAGGATTCCCTCAAATTTTTATTTCGTTTTCCAGTGTCTGTAATAAGGGATGTATCTACAGTGGATGCGTACATTTAGTGCCGTAGCTTTTCCCCTGCTAAGTTAATGATGGTGCATTTTTCAATAGATGGTATCAAACGGAGGAAATGTGTGAGAATTTAATGCAGTATCAAGTACAATATGTATTCAATAAGTAGCTACTTTTTTTTTTTTTTATTGAATAGGATTATGGTTCCTGTGTTAAGGCCATACCCCATGGGAAAGTGAGGGCTCCGCTGGGAGGTCCGTGTATATACAGGATACTGTATGTGTGAGGTAGCCGAGCTGCTCTCCTCTAGGAACCTAGATGTTGAAGGTGGGAGACAACAGTGTGATTTGTGGTTGTGAGTGTCTAGTCAGTGCCTCTGACCCTGAAGGTGCGCTAGACAGGGAAGGACCTGCAAACTAGAGCTTCTGCATTCATGCAGTTAGCACAGATTGTTGTTGTTGCTGCTTTTTAATCATCCCTTGTTCTTTGAAGAAGTCTTACCTAAAGATCTTCAGCCTTAACTTGGCTGAGCTTCAGAGAGGCTGATTATTTACTCCTTGGCCACAGTGTTGAAGGGAGAGCCTGGCTTCTCTGAGTAGGGGTGGCATTACTCAGCTGGGGACCCTGTGGGGAAAGTGGATTAAGCCATAATGGTTTGTTGAACTGCCCCTCCCTTTTTGGAAAGTCTCCTTCCAGTGGCAGACTTGGAGGTGCCAAGTTGTACTTTTTAAAACGAGGCAGCCGGTCCTTATGGATCTTCCTCTGCAAACAGCTGAGATACCTACTGTACTCTAGTTTGAGTCTCTAATTTGGGTCAGGGAAGAGTGGGGATATGAATCTTGGGTAGATGGAACATAAAATGGGCTCATACTATACAGACGATCTGGTAAACCTCCTCCCGCGACCCTTGTTTTTTTCTTGGTACGCGGGCCTCTCACGGTTGTGGCCTCTCCCGTTGCAGAGCACAGGCTCTGGACACGCAGGCTCAGTGGCCATGGCTCACGGGCCCAGCCGCTCCATGTCACGTGGGATCTTCCCGGACCGGGGCATGAACCCGCGTCCCCTGCATCGGCAGGCAGACTCTCAACCACTGCGCCCCCGCCTTTTAAATAAAGCTGTAAGGCATACCTTGGTACACACAGAAGTATTTAGAGGTAAAAGGGCATTAACTCTAACTCTCTAACTTACTCTTGAATGGCTCAGTGTAGATGTGTGGGTGGAGGGCGGGGAGAGAAAAATAGAAAGCAAACTGTGGTAGAATGCCAGCATTTGGGGAATCTGAGTGAAGGGTTTGTAGGAATTTCTTTTACTGTTTTTATTATTTTTCTGTAAGTATGAAGTTCTTTCCAAAGAAAAAGTTGAAAATACCTTGAGCATCTTTCCATGCAAGTACACGTATTTACATTATTTTGTGATCATTTCCAGTTATTTGCCATTATAAACAGTGCTGCATGGAGATCTTTACATATGATATATCCTCATGTATTTGGAATGGAATTCTGGCACCCCTTTGAAATACCCCCACTTTCATAATGGACCTGATAAGAAAATTCACAGTACATTAACCAATTAATGCTTGAGCCTTAGACTTTAATTAGAATTTTAAACGGGTTAAATGGTGACTGTTGAGCAATATTTATCTTACCCTGATACCAATAAACAATAATCTGTGGAAAAAATTTCTTCAGTCCTGGTTCATCTCATGTAATAAAATTTTAGGGAAGAAAATGAATCTTTTAATGACATAAAATGTCTTGGCTAAGGGTTGACGGCTTGAGTAGTAATAAAGATCAAAAAGTCTTTGATGTCCTGAAGTTGTAACTTCCTGACCCCATTCTTTTGGAAGCAGTGGGCAAATCTTTTTTGCCCTCATTTCAACTGTGCCTCACTGTTTCGTTGATTGCCGTATTTTTTTTTTATGAAAAAAAATTTTTTTTTTTTTTTTTGGCTGTGTTGGGTCTTCGTTGCTGCATGCGGGCTTTCTCTAGTTGCAGCGAGCGGGGGCTGCTCTTCGTTGCGGTGCACGGGCTTCTCATTGCATTGGCCTCACCCGTTGTGGAGCGCAGACTCTAGGCGCGCAGGCTTCAGTAGTTGTGGCACGCAGCCTTAGTAGTTGTGGCTCGCAGGCTCAGTTGCTCCGCAGCATGTGGGATCCTCCTGGACCAGGGATCGAACCTATGTCCCCTGCATTGGCAGGCAGATTCTTAACCACTGCGCCACCAGGGAAGTCCCTCAAAAATTTTTTTAAATGAAGCATAGCTGATTTACAATGTTGTGTTAATTCTGCTGTACAGCAAAGTGATTCAGTTGTACATACATATACATTCTTTTTTAATATTCTTTTCCCTTATGGTTTATCATAGGATATTGAATATAGGTCTCTGTGCTATACAGTAGGACCTTGTTGTTTATCCATTCTGTATATCAAAGCTTATTACATCTTCCAATCCCAGCATCCCACTCCATCCCTCCCCTAACCCCGTCCCCCCATGACTGCCAGATATTTTAATTGGATTCTCATTCTCATTCCAGCAGCAGATAGGATGAGGGGACTATTTAACCAGAGTCAGGAGTCATATGCTCTGTTCTGTTGATTAACTTTCAACTCCTAATTGTTGTTGTTCCTAATGATGCGTGTGAAAGACTAAAACCGTAGGATATAATTACATTTTACCCGCAGGTCGAAACAGCATTCATTGTTTCTGACCTTTGTGCTATAATATTTGGTCCAGTTTTTAGGCATTCTTTAATAGTCTTGAAAAACAAAAATTGGGTAAGCAGGTCCTGTTGTTGACATGCATAATGCATAAAGGCAGGTCCAGTAGGGCCAGCAGAGAAAGGGGATACCCTTGATTCTTTGGTTATACCTCCTAACTTCCAGACCCTAACTCAAAAATAGCAAACTGCAAACATTTCAATAAAATCATCTCCATGAAATTTACATGTTTTAAAACCAGACCTAGGCAGGTCAAATTGCATCTGAATTTTGTCTTGTCCATTAGATTCAATTCCAGGAGAGTGTGAATGCTGTATGCTCTTTTCCTTTTTCCTTAAAGAAACTGGAATGAGGGAAATGGTGGATTAATAAACCCTAGATCAGGAATTAACCAATGCTGTATTAAATTATACTCAAAGTAGAGATGAGAGCCCTGAAAAGAGTGCTTTTCCATCTACACTCTGGCTGTGAAGCAAGCATTGGACCAACTGACTGGGAAGAACAGTGCTTTCTTCACAGCAGGGGCAGTAATGGGAGGGGTGTGTGTTGTACGGGAGTTGCCCAGGGCACTTGGCTCATGAATTGACACACAGGGAAAGCTGATACTCCATTAAAAATTGTGAAGTCAGGGGATTTGTTACATATCTCTAGTTAAGGAAAAGTGAATTTTTTTAAAAAAAGATTTTACTTTTCCATTTTCTTTGTACTTAAAAATGTAAAGACTGTAAAATGACATTTCCTAGAAACTATGGTTGTGATACTAAAAACAGCAGCTGTCATTTGTTTAGCTGGGGATAAGCAAGGTGATCTTTCCTTTAAGACCCTAGGTAATCTCCTCTCTCCCTAGGGTCTGTCTCTGGAGAACTAGTGTGTGTGTGTGTGTGTGTGTGTGTGTGTGTGTGTGTGTGTGTGTGTGTGTGTGTAAGCTGGAAATGCTGATTTCAAGTAGGGCTAGAATTTAAAATGAATTTTTGGCAGGTAAAATTTCTAATATTTTAGAATATTACCATAATATTACCATAAAATCTATCCTTGATTGGATGCTGGCCTCCTTCCTGTGGGCTCAGTAAGATGTTCAGAATGATTGCCATCTTCATGTTCACGTAACTTGGCTCACTGGACAGATGTTGCTATAAAACAGCAAACTAACACCACCTCCACTTTTGTTATATCTGTTATTCCCCTAGATTTACTAATGTACTAATTTTCTTTAATATACATATTTTCCACCAGAAGCTTTTGACCTAAGGGTCATAATTCGTCTGTCATTGTCTCCAGCAGAAACCTTTCCTGCATGGTTAGGTCAGGTTAATCTCTCTGGTTTTATTTCATCCAGAATGTGAAGTTTCTCCTATTTAGCTCGTAAGAGGTGGGCCCTGAGGTGATTCTACTTAGAAGAGTGTTGCTGTATTAATTAATACCAGCACTCTAGTTGTTTTTTGTTTGTGTGCTAATCTTTTTCTTGCTTTTCCCATTCAGCAGACCTACTCCAGTGAAGTCCATTGTGTTGAAGAGATTCTGAAGGTGAGCTTATTGTTATTATTTCTCACTTGAAGAAATACTTAAGTAGGCAGACATATATTCATTTTCTTTGACTTCAGTGAACAGTTGCCATTCTGAACTCCTTTAAAGTTTCTCCCCTCATACCTCCCAAAACAAAATAAACCAGAATAATAACAAAGGGAGTCTTAGGACATTATTGAACTATCTGAGAGGTTTTAATTGAAATGAAGTCTACAAACTGCGAGGCATTTGGACCAGAGTCTTACGACATCTCCCTTAAGCTTTTCTGGCTGTCTGTAGAGACCCTGGAGAATTGATCACCTCCCAGAGAGTAGATGCCCTGTGTTGCTGCAGCAGGGGGCACCCAGGGGTTAAGTAGTGCTTAGTTTTCACCTCTTGGTGTTTTATAGGTGACACTTTATATGTTTGGCCTTATCGTCAGTGAGACCATGAATTTTTAAAGGGATAAAAAGAAAAATAGTAGAAGGTAAATGGACATCTTTACACCTACCTTGAAAGGGTTATTTTTTGCTCTTGTTGATTGAGACCATGCCAGGAACATTTGTGCTGCTTCTCCACATACATCATTGAATCCATTATCCATTTGTTCAGTTTTGCTTGCACGAGGATGACAGATTCCTTTTAGAATTCAGTTCCAGGAAAATAAATAAATTCTCCTGATGAACCGGCTTGCTTTCTTTTTATCAGAGAAGAATTATGTAAACTGTTATGTGTCCCATTTTGGCTTTAACTTCCAGGAAATCTAGAGCTAAACTTAATGCTCAAATACAGTAATTGTAATGACTGAGAGTTTTGTTTATTTCTCATTCCTCCTCTGTGGCTCATAACTTTCTTCCATGTCACTTTTAATGATACTCTTACTTTATCTTTTGCTATAAGGATTCTGATTTTTGTTTTCTGGTTTTTTTTGGAAGTAGGAGAGATATGACACATGTACCTATTAATTTTTATCCCCACTGCACACTTTTTCCTCAAAATATGCTTACCCAATTTTTTCCTTTGAGTTTTCATTGCAAAGTACTAAGTGAGGTGGTGCTGAAACCAGTAATTAAGTATATTGGTTACCTTCTCATTTGTGCAATTTTTGACAAAGGTGATGTCTAGCCAGATGTTTGGAAAACGGTTCCATTATTTTTGTTTTACTATCTTAGGTATCCTACTTTTGTAGTTAGAGTTTTCTAAGAAAGAAATACCTCTAAGGAAACATACTTTGTATTGCTAAAAATGAGAAATTTTTGCCAACCAGCAAGTAAGATTAATAATAAGATATCTTGATCAAGCTTTTCTTTTATCCTCTCCCTCTGGTATTTCTGAAATTCTTTGGTAAGATGAGTCATAAAAGTAACAGACGACTTAGTTATGAAATAATAGCCTTAGCATTTTCTCTGAAATTGTGTGTGATTTGTTCCATGGTTATTTCAAAAGTAAATGCAACAATGTAGATTAGTTGTCTCCTGCATGTGTCAAATGCTTCTGTTAACGATTTGATGTATGTTAATATACGACTTGTTGAGTCCTTTATGTAAGGTGATAGTATTAGAACATCAGGCAAGCATTTTTAATTTAATAAACTCGTCCATCTTCCCTCCCCTCTCAGCCAACATCACTTTAATGAGTTCTTGCTTACCTGGAAATGCTTGAAAGTAGATGGTTAATGCGAGCCACAGGTGAGTGTTTTCATTTGGAAGTCTTAAAGAGAGAGTAAATCGCAGGATGTCCTGGACTGAAGAGGGGCATGGGTCTCTGCTTTGTGGAGACTTAGAATCTGTCCCCTTCTCTTCTCCTCTTTTGAGGCCTCAGTTAAGTCACGTGTACTCCCTGGACTTCAGTTTCCTCATGGGTAAAATGAAGGCCCTGGGCTGGTAGATAGTAGATGACTCTAGGGTCAAATCCAGCTCTCTCACTCTCTGATGTCGATCCAGATACTTCCCTCTGCCTCGTGGTTCCTGTTCTTATCTCCTACCAGTAATTTATGAAGATTGCCAGGAATCCTAACACAGATCTTTCTGATGGGCAATAGAAGCAGTAAATAGTTCCCTAAAGGAGAAAATCAATTATAGATGATAGTGTTTGGTTCTCTGGTGGAAATGTTAAGAGTCGCAGTGTTTTACTCAAGGGGCGTTGGTGGCCTGTGACTTGTGCAGACTGGCAGGGTAAGAAGGTAGCAGGCAGACACTACCAGCAACCAGGAAATTGGTCATGCATAAGGGTCCTGATGGGGATGGTGCCCTCAGTGGGTGTATGGAAACGACTCAGGTTTTCTACAGCCCAGACAGCCTTTTGGGGCAGTTAATGCAGTGCTTGTAGACATTATCTCAGTGCAACATTCCAGTGACACTGGTACAACGAGTGGTAGCATTGTACCACTCGTTGTACCAGTGTCACTGGAATGTTCATTTATTCAGCAGATATCTGTGAAGATGCACATACTTTTCTAGACACTGGGGTGCCTTGTGAATAAGAGTCCTTCCTCTTGTGGAGACCATAGTGGGGAAGATAAATATATAATAAAATGTCAGTTGTTGATAAGCGCTGTGAGTCATAGCAGGCAAGTGATTGGAGAAGAAGGCAGAGGAAAGAG